TGTCTCTGTGGGGAGCAAGGGAGGTAGAGGCACAGCAGGAAACGGCACGAGCAGGGACAAAGCAGTCTCTGTTCTCACTGCTTCTGCTGTGATTCTATTTTTGAATGCCCCTCGCTGGCCCTGCACTCCCTGTGGCACTTCTGCTTTTCAAATGTACAAGAGCACCACTGGGGTTCTGTACATTTCACAGGCTCAGGCGCTGGCTTCCCCGTGCTCCCTGCAGGACTTCCACTTTTGAACTGTCGCAAGATCCTGGCAGGGCTCTCGCTGCAGTTCAAAGGCAGAGGTGTCCTTCTCCACTGATCGAAGAGTCGATGGAAATCCCATTGACTCTTTGGTTAATCAAACTTAACATCCCTAATACTGCCCTTCGTGCTGCTTGGACCCCTTGATGGGTTTCTTATCGGAGAGGAGAATCGGCTCTGCTGTGGAATCCGCTCCATAGAGATGGCTCCTCCAAGGTCGAGGCACATCATTCAAGTTGAGGGTGACTCTTGTACTGCACCATTGCCTCTGCTGAATGTTTTCTATAGCTACAGGGCTCATGTCTCCAGGGCTGTCACTCGGGCACCGTAGACGAGACTTAAATTCACATAACTTTCCAAAGATTGGAAAAAGCCCCGTGTTTAAGGAGAGAGCCAACTGTAAATGCATCAATACCTTGGACTAGGCTCTCCTCATAGCTGTCAAATTTCAAAGATAAAAATGTTCAGACTGTCAGATCTGTTGTGTGTGGGCTTTCCTAGCTTTGAGTGGGAGAATCAGCGGGTGAGTTAACCAGTATATAATCAAGAACTCTGAAAAAGCAGAAGCTGTGATTAATGTTTAAAAAAACTCCCCTCCGTGTAGACACCAGTTCTCTTAATTGCTCTTTCCAATGTGTCCTCTCTGTTCATTTCTTGGGTCTCTTTAACCTACTTTAAATTTTGATTCCCCCACACACCCAATACTCAGTGATTCAGAAGGAGGACGAAATGCGTTCAACACTAAATGAGCAACTTGGTGGTGGGTGGCAGTGATAAATGGGTCACATCAGCCTCAGAAGCAAGAGGACAAGTAACTCGTGGTAGTTACTGTGAGCTCATGTTAGAGGAAGGATGGTTTTGTGGTTAAGGAAGTGGGACTGCAGGGCTGCGTTAAATCCCAGACTCTGCTACAGATTTGCTGGTACCATGAGCAACTCCTTTGATTTCTCCATTGCTCAGACATTCATTTGTAAACTGGGAATTTCGAAGGGTCCCCCCCCTTCTTTATTGGGTTTATTTAGATTTGGGATAGGGACTCTCTAACAATACTATGTACCACACATAGTACAATAAGACCCGCATCTCAGTTGGAACCTGTAAGTGCCACTATAAAACTACTATTAAGAAGATAAGAAATGGCCAAAGTGGGTCAGACCACTTGTCCATCTCACCCAGCGGGTGGCCAAGATAGGGCCTGAAAGCCAGATCTGGCCCGCCATGCCTTTCAGTCTGGCCCGTGGCTCACCCCACTGGACCCACAGGCAGGGAGCAGCCCTAGGGCCCAGAGCAGTTGGCTGCGCCAGCAGTCTCTGTGCTGGAGGTTGGGGGAAGCTTCGTTCACTATGAACCCTCACCTTCACCCAAACTCCATCTCGGACCCAACACCTTCTCCTGTACCCCTACCTCGAGCGCCCTTCTGCACCCAACCTCCATCGCAGACCCTGCATCCCCGCCATAGAAAACTGTGGCCCTTGACCACTTCCCAAAATTTGAGTGGTCCCCTCATCAAAAATTATTGCCCACCTCTGATCTAACCCACTCTCCAGTCCTTTGGACAGTTGCTGGTGACAGATGCTTCAGAGGGAATTAACAAAACAAGGCAGCAATTGATTGTTCCCTGATGTCCGATCCCAGCTTATGTCTGGCAGAAGTTTAGGGACACCCAGTGCATTGTGTGTTCTGACCATCTTGGCTAACTGCCATCGATGAGCATTTCCTCAATTAGCTTACCTAATTATTTTTTTGAACTAAAATTATACTTTTGGCATTCACAACATCCCCTGACAACGAGTTCCACAACGGTGACTGTGCTTTGGGTGATAAAGTACTTGAGGGTTATGTTAAACTGGCTGCACGTTAATTTCATTGCACAACCCCTGGTTT